GAATAGCTGAAGATAACAATTATATTAAGCAAAAAAAACCCTGAAATGAAATAACAATAAAATAAAATGCAAGCAATAATTGAGAATTGAACAAATCAAAAAGAAATTAAAATTAAAAAATTTCAAGCGAAGTTACTTCAAGACGTTTTGGATTGTTAGTATCTACAATCGTCTTCGGGTGATGACTGTGGATATACTAACAATTGAAACGTGGTGAAATAACTTGGCTTGAAATCTTTTATTTTTATTTGTTATTAATTTGTTGAATTTTCAATTTTTGCTTGTATTTTATTTTATTGTTACTTCATTTCAGAGTTTTTCAGGTGTAATTTCATCATCTCATCATCATTTCATCATCTTAGACAATGCCCCGATCTAATGAAATTCAGAATGTTTACTTTTTTATTATATAAAAGTAAGAAGAATACTCTGGAGAAACAAATGTTCTACAATATACATATGGCCATGAAATACAAGCTACAATTTTTCATCGCTCTACCGTGAAACCTACCAAGAGGATAATAAACAACAATTACAATACAAATTTGCAATTAGATCGAATTAAGTACGTCTGCGGATAAAGACAGAACGACACAGGATGATGTGAACATAAATAACCTTCATTACGTTGATTTATACTCTTTCCTTGTTTTAATAACACGATTTTTGAATGCATAACCATGGTTGAGGCGATTGTACCAAGTTCAAATTGTTACTTTTTTACAGGGGAAGCAAATATACTATCAAACACTAATCATTGAGAATGTCGAAGAAAGCGGGCACACGATAAAGGAGACGCTGCATGTGAAATGTTCCATTTTCTCAATCAAAAACCACACCGTGTCCAAAAGAAACGTTCTTCCAGCCGGATTTCAAGAACCAGAGTGAGTATTTGTTTAATGTACATGACTTCAAATTTAATTCTATGACTCTTCAGCCAATCATAAAACTCGGTTAGTAAAAATTATCCAATATGAACCGCCAATTCTTCAGTCCACGTGGACTAGTTGGCAGCGGCGTTATTCCTCTGTATTGGTTTTTTGGGCCTTTGAGATGCCGATAGCTTTAACTATTCACAATACAGGTTACTTCGACTATACCTAGAACTAAATAGAAGTATATCGATATATTTATTGTCTCAATTGAAAATGCATTATTTCACATTCAACAGAATGTTTACCTATTTGTTTGAAGGTGGTTGACAATGTTTCATGGTGAATTCCATTAGTTAGGACTTCCATTGTGTAATTTTATAAAAAATGATTTGAAATTCCTGAAAGAATCAATAAAATTGAAATGTACAGCTGAAGATAACAATTATATTAAGCAAAAAAAACCCTGAAATGAAATAACAATAAAATAAAATGCAAGCAATAATTGAGAATTGAACAAATCAAAAAGAAATTAAAATTAAAAAATTTCAAGCGAAGTTACTTCATCCGGCCTTGCGGTTCGGAAGATTGAACGGCGTGTACACAAGATGGAGGCTAAGATCACGTCGGCGAGACAACACGCGTCTCGTATCCAATGTGTGGATACGAGACGAATTTTTCTCAACTAATGTTTTACATTAGTTGAGAAAAATTCAGCAAAACATTACTGATTTCGTACTTGTTTTTTATTATAATTCAATTCAGCTGAACACTATTTATTGCAAGGCATTTTTTCCTTCTAGTTTTTTGCTGGACAGTACGCCAAATATATTTTTGTTTTTCTCTGCCATATTTATTTTCAAGACTTTTTTGATAGAACGATTGTTTTGTTTTGTTAATTTCGGTTAAATAGTTTTTTTGCATTCTTATTTGTTAGTCAAAATAAATTTAAGGCCATTGCCCATCTGTATAAGATCAGAATCAACCTAGGATTTTTTGTTCACATAGTAAAGTAGAGTGTTCACAAATTCTTTATACACACCATCAACAGTACTCTTTTGTGCATCATTGGGATATTCATATATTGACGAAAAACTCATATTTGTAACGCTAAATGCACACACACACNGTTTCATTGAGATATTCATATACTGACGAAAAGCTCTCGCTCGCTATATGAGATTGTGAACTAGCTAAGTTTGATTGAGATGTATTTCTATAAGTGAGCTGACGAATCTATATCAAAATTCTCCCTCGAGATGAATTCAACTTGTTCTTTGTATTGAAAGTTTTGATGACAAATCAGTTTCTGTATTATAAGAGATTGAATGAGACTGAATCGAATTACACCTACGTACAATGTTCATTATAATCAACCAAAATTTCTCAATTCACTTTGATTGAGCCTGAAAGCTCATCAATCAATGTCTTGCTCGAAACAGCGCGGTATTTAAACGAGAAATCATAATAAGAACAAATTCATAAATTACAAACGATATTATATTAATAACTGTTCTATTTAAATCGGTATCTGCTCGCTACGTGGTATGCAGGTGTTAAAGTTTACTTTTACTTAAGAAAACCGCTAGCCGAAGCCATAAATCAAATTCATCTAATTATTAGGTAAACACGTCTGCGAAGCAATACGTTATTATCTTCAGGAAACTGCCGGTACCTAAGTCGATTAGTTGTTGAAATCTGAAGCGATTCAGTAAGAGACTGTAATTGATTTTTTTTGAAAGATTTCATTAACAACTATGATTATACGACGGGCAAGTTTTAGAAAAAAGTAGTTCCGGAGCACAAAAATCATCACACGATTCGGATAATACAGCCAGAATAATTTCTGTAATAATTGAAAATGAGATATTTGTTGAGAAGGATTAGTTTTTGGAAAAAACCTTTTGACGACATCAATAAAAACTCTTCTTCAGGAGGATCATCAAAAACACTTTCATATAAATGTTTATAGCTAATAACCAGCTATTCTTATTCATATGCTATCAATTTAGAGACTGTGGGTGTCACTAGGCAGCCTAGAAAGGTACCTCATGGAACAAAAACGACATTTGAATATGAAATTAATGGAAATTAATTTCAAATCCGAGGAATGATATGTATGTTTATTCAATGTGAGTTCCACATCAGGGAATAATGTTTATTTAAATTTTTTCAATTCAATCCATGGGAACTTTTGTTATGATTCAAGAGTAAGTTATAAATGATTCTTACAGAAAATATTGCATGACTTTTTCATATTAAATTGAATTTCACTCTTTGAAAGTATCTGGTGTTGATTTATTGGAATATATCTCCACTTTAAATATTCAGGGTGTATTGTTAATTATGCTTTTCATTCTGGGAGGCCATTTTCGTCATATTTTATGAGAAAAATATCATGCTCATAGTCTTCGTAGAGGAAGATGTATTCGTCTTCACTATTTTAGGCTTGGCTTTCAAGGACAGTTGAGTCCAACAATGCATTTATGTTTCAGCCTAGCCCCACTGATGAGATCTTGGCGGGTCGAAACAGAGCTGTCTGATGTTGGGTCACGAATACTTTGAGGGCTCGGGTTTGATTTCTGATAATAACGAAACAAACCTAGTTTTATCGTCAGTGAAAAACCGTAGAAATTCCTCCGAAGTTCTGTCGATGTCGGTAGCATTATTCTCGCTGCTTCTCGAGTGGCGGGGAATCATCGTGCATTCGCGCGCTCTCAACTACGTTACGTTTGGCGTATGGTTACCAGTGGCGGCCGGCATTATTTTCTTTCGGGCATAATTTACAACAGTATTAGTACCACTAATGAAATCAACCACTGAAGTTTTTGTCTTGATTGTTTATAATACATTACCCTAAATGATTATTTGTCCAAGTCTTTCCTTTTCAAAAAACGAGCGACGTTATTGGTGGGTTCTTATACAACTTATTATTGTTTCTTGAGGTGGGAATGCCTTGTTTTGGCATTTTTTTAGAAAGAATGGAGTCGATAATATCTTCTTTGGGAACCGTTGTTGAAAGCAATTTGTTTGCTGAAATTCAGTTCATTCTGAAAATTACTATCTGACAGTGAAATATTTCTGTAAGTTGATATTATGTATGACAATGTCCGTATAAGATGTTCGACTCCTTTTTTAACATAACGTTGTAAATCATCACCTGAACAAAAAATAACGCCGGCTGCCCCTGGTCGTCGTCAATTCATTATGACTTGGCCAAGGTCGGCTCAACTCGACTTGCGCTTCGCGATTGTTTTAGATGTCGAGTCGCTTCGAGAGACTTCCAGCGACTTCCCTGTCGGCTTCCAGAGACTTAAAATACGATATATAAACGCTACCAATACACAGATCGACGAAGTTTAGTTGAAAGTGCTGTACGAAGTATTCCATTAAGGCGATTGACATTCGAATATTAGCCTGAAGTTTCAGTTAAAGTGTTTGTGTTCAACTATACAGTGTAGTCAATTATTGTCAAATCCACGAGAAAAATGTAACAATAATATGAGTAGGTTGAATGGTATGTAGAGGTCTCTTCAGGGACGGGGTTAATCCACATGGTTATTTTGGCTTTGGCTTCACAATGTTTTTAACGATGCTCTTTATTCTATATCAGTAGAGTTACTGGGTTTCCTCATGGTCCTCGGGTATTACGATTCATGGTTCTTTGTGGTAATTGTCCTCCATGGTGGTTGCGTCTAGTGGTCTGGGTACAATAGCAGATGGTCGGTTATCGGCAGGCAGACTTGTGGTTCAGATAGGTCAGGGGTGGGATTTGAGGCAGTGTTTGAACCCTGCAGTGACTCCAGGTTGTGGGCTGTCCACTACTTGATCGTTTCTGGGTGCAGGAACCCTGCACCCAGGGTTTTTTCAAAACTGGGCAAAGCTACCGCAGAGGACAATCAACTCAATTGACGGTAATTGAATTAATTGACCTTGATTATGTACAATCAAGGACATATTTCGTCAAATTCAATGCCTCTTTCTTTTTATTGAAATTATTCCCATTCTTCTGAATTTCGATTGCCTCTCTATATATTCTGGGTACTAATTTTGATTTTTATCGAATATTTGTGTATTTTCGAATGAGATCACGTGAGAGCATGTTCAGCTACAGCTGATTTGTCGTTTTATTCTCTCTCTCCAGAAAAATGTCGAGAGGAGGTAGATCTAGAAGGATCTCCATGGCCGCTGACGGTGTGGAACTGATGGCACCACTGGTGACCAAACAATCCTGTCTCTGTAAGCAAGAGAGCTTCGCCTGAGCCGTAATATACGAACTTACATTGCCTATGAACATTCAATCATTTGCAAGGTGAGACACTCCTTATTCAGAATATTTCTACCAATAACAATTGAATATATCTTTTAGGACATCTTATATTTTTCAGGCTACCGTAGAATATTGAATTATTGTCCTTGAAACGATGTAATAGAAGTTGACTTTTCTTTTCAAGATGGATACATACAATAAAAGTACGCATACTGTAACGTCATCTATGAAACTACTGTCTAAAAATAGTTGTTCCCCCTCGAATCAGCAATTGACGGGTTCGAGCGATTTTTCACATTTTCATGTTAACGCCGGAAAATCGAGGTGTTAAGTTTTCGTTGGACCACACTGTATGTAAAAATTATCATGAAATGAATATGTCAAGGACACCGATGGCTAGATGGTCGTGATTGAACTACAAAGAGGATCTAATGACTCCAATAAATACCGAGTTACATAAGCTCACTCACCTTAAAACCTGATTGAATACGGAAAGACTCGAATTGAAATGATCTTTTGAATAATAAACGTTGATTCGGTTCATTAACAAACCGTATTAGGTAAGGGTTGTGGAGCTTGTTTCATTTCGTGTTAATATCAACTTTCTTTTAACAATTTTAAGCGATGACTTCGAACTACGCTCTAGAAGTAATCTGATTGAGAAACCAATGCTTGTACTAGCAACAAAAATTCTAAATGGTGCTTATTGAGAAGAAGTGCGCATATAATTAACTAATAAAAATTTCTGAATTTCCACTCTTTGATTGCAAAATCAATATTTTTATGACCAACAAAAGTCAATAATTCAACAATCGAACTTCTCTGACTAACCGCATGTAATCCAACATCGAGATATTTCCATTAATGATTCTCAAAAGTGTTTTTCACACTTGTAGCAAGATTAAAAGAATACCCGACGGGACCGATGACCCACACGGAAGTGACATAGCTTGTCGAGCCTGTCTAGCAAAAATGACTATTGTTGAAAAGACATACAGGATTTCCGACATACATTGACCTTTAACAATCAGCCTTGAATAACTTAATGATTCAGAACTCTGTATATTTTAAAGAAACGAATGCGATGAGCTATTTACAGTATGGACGATGAATCTTTACAAATGCGTCAACAATTTGTGCATCTGGAATGAGTAGACAAGGTAATAAAAACTCAACGGTGACGTTGCTATTGCTCCGAAAAACCTAACCTTTCAATGCAGAAGGGCTGAAAAGTATCCATGCAGTGTTTGACATGTCAATACTATTGTAATAGATCCATTACTTTTGATAAGTGTGTGTTACGTATCATCGGAAAAACCCGTAATCTATTTCTATTTGGGAAAAAAAAGAGTTGGATGGATTATGCTTAATGATCACAGAACACACGATGTATTGGTGTTCTGTGTCACGATACATTGTTCCTGCAAATCATTGCACAGAACACAAATATGAATTGTAATGAATATACACATCCCAAAATTTCCAAACAAAATTAGCTTACACTCTGCTATGGAAATATATATTTATGAATGTTTATGAATCAGGTGATGCGGATATAACAGTTATTTAGTGATTGACTTTTAGAAACGTTTTCAGTATGACAACACTGTAAAAATATTTTATCAATTTTCAGATTTCCTTGTTCATGATGAACTTCTCGTTTTAAATATCATGAATATGGTACCAAGACACTTCCTTTGAGAGTCAATACAATCGGTAGCTAACAACCATACAAAAGTTAATTCCTTACCAAAGTCAATGAACCATATGAAACAAGTTCATTTGTATTAATTTTTTGACTTGGTTTCTCTCTATGATTGCCACTTGTTGTGTTGCTGGTGATTTTTGTGCATTTATTTGCAGTTTATTCACTGAGATAATTCGAAAGCTATTCGAATGGAATAATTAAAGTAACAACCAAGAAGCAGAAAAAAATCCGTGTTACGCACTCAGTTGTTCTCTCGAAATATCAAATCATAATTTGAAGGTAAAATTTTCAATTTTATATATTAAACAGTGTTGCCAAATCATATTAAATACACCATTTATAAAGCAAGAACGTCTGAACCGATTTTTGTAATTTTTGATTTGTTGGATTTGGCTCCACCCGGATTAGCACAATTATTGACGATGTTTGGTTTGTTTAGGTTAAGACAGTAATCATGGTGCGCGTAAAAACAATTGAGGTTATGACACTCATGAGCGAGATCGATAGAATGGAATCTTCCACAACAATCAATCCATTTCAATTGAAGAAGAAATCGCACTAGAGAAGTGTTGCCAGGTCTAGTATTTTTGCAGTAGATCTCTTGTTTTTGGCTCTCGAGCTATTATTTTACTGTTTGAGAGTTGAAATCCATCTGATGACTCAGTGTACTTTGTATAATAATATGACTGTAAATAGTGAAAATAACCATTTATGTAATATGTATCTATAAAATATATTTGCTACTGTTTTTTGTATCAATCTACTGATGACCTGGCCACACTGGCAGTGTTAGTATGGCCGACTTCGTGCTTCGTGCACGAAATAAAATGGATTATAACCCGGTTGATAACTTGACAAAATTTTTATTAATTCCAATATGGTCCGAATTACGCCGAGTCTGCTAATTATGATATAAAATTTATTTACTGTAAAATCTGGAATGCCCTTAACAAGCTAAGCCTCCAGTGAAGATTACGTTCTGATCAAACCACATGTTTTTTCTTTGTTTTTCACCGTTAAAAGAAAAGTATGTGTTTTATCGCCTCAAGTGTATATGTAATGATTCGTTACCCAATTGTATTAATGCTGTGCGCAAATTTAAATGGCTCTTTCATTGGCAGTTACTTCATGTTTTTTTTCAGGGAAATTGAAATTCTGACCACCAACGATACTATAGGAAGAGCTCCGGAACCGATTCTGGGGGTTGGGGTGAGACAAGCTGGGAAACTAGTTACAGGGGAACTCAATGTCTCTCCTGGTACTCCACTTCAAATGGAAATATTCTTAGATAAGGTCTCGTCTCCTATTTATGGACTTCTTGTGACGCACATGCAAGTGACGGATACCAAAGCTCAAGAGGAAACTATAATATACAATGGGTGAGATACTTTAAGATAGAATCAATAATAATAATTACAGTCTGTTAAATTTCTCTTCTAATGATGAAATTGGTAATTAGTTGAAGGAATTTAAGCAAGGTTGGTACAAGAACCGTAGTAATATTCACATCAATATTTCCATAAACTTGTTCTCAAGTTGATTAGAATTATTAGTAATTATTATTAATAATAATAATCTATCAGTGCTTGAGGGTGTTGGAAGGGTATTGGTATGAAATTCGGGATAGGTAAATATGCAACGGTCCATCTCAAGAGAGGATGATGCGGGGACTACGGAGAGGATGTGCAGCTCGTAGATGCGAGAGCATCTCGTATCGTCTGGATGCCGGAGAGACCTATACTTATATTGGTGTGAAACAACGCGACTCACAAGAGGTAACAGCAGTGAAGAACTCTCTCGATGGCAAGAATCAGCGCATACTCCGACATATTTGGTCATCGGAACTGTCGGGGAGGAACAAAGTTTCTGCTATTAACATGCTTGCTGTTTCAGTCTTACTTTATTCGTTTGGAGTAGTGAAGTGGACTCAGGAGGAGTTGTATCAACTCAGCGTAAAAAACTGAGAAGTGATGCATCTCCATACGAGTTTGAATTCAATATCGTTCGTTCTACGGTTTTACTTTCCCCCACAACAGGATGGCCGTGGACTTTTGAGTTTGCAGTGTCTAAATGGCAGAATGGTACTGGATGGAGCCTGTAAAGTCATCAGTCGTTCGGATTCCCGCGACCATGAGAAAGCAGGAATCAAAGCATTTTAAGGCAGCTATCAGAGCGGCTCAACTCGGTTTAGTTTTCGACACTGAACAGGGTGATCAAAACTCTATCAACGATTTGGAACCCGTTCAGCAAAAGGCTCAGATGAAAACAGCAGAGATCCCTTTACTCCTGCGGCAACAGAAATATAAGCTAATGCATAGGGTCTTCTTTGGGCTAATCAAAGCACCTGACCTTTGCTTTCCTTAGGTCGAGAGGGCTGAAATCAGAAACTGAGGGCTGGTTCATTATGGCATGTAAAGATAGTATCTATACCACTTCATTCTACCGCAGGGGCGTCATGGGTATATACGTTTCCAACACAAGGTGCAAGGCCTGCGGCGAGGCGTCTGAGATTCTAATGCCTTTGCTGTCAGCATACCCAGCATATGCCGTCTCAGCCTGATTCAATCGACACAACGTTGCCCAAAAAGTGCACTTTTACAGTGTGATTCGGGGATAGGGCTCTCATTAGTATGATATAATGTTAAGTTCGACACTTATATGCAAAAGAAAAAAAATCGTATTCACGAAGCTACAACTGATGTCACTATAGCCAGTTGCGTTATATTCCAGTTTTTGTTTTAACACCTCTACAAACCAAACTGTTCAACAACTTTATACAGATGAGGGAAATATATCACCAGACAAAGTACTCTGAGAAAAAACATGATCAAGTGAATCACGCTTCTAACAGAAACTTTTTTTTTACAAAAAAAATGTATTCTCTTCTCCATGGGCGTTTTATCAAGGATTTGGATACCAGATTATCAAATTATTATTCCAAACACATTCTTATGAGACATTGACATTGAGTTATGTTTTTACTGTGATTTTTTCAGATGTTCTGTAGACCCATATCTTTTCGAGAACTTCAACACCGTTGATGGAGACTTTTTATCAGCCAAATTTCGAGCTTTCAAATTTCCTGAATCTACATACGTTCAATTCAAAGGAACAGTCAACGTTTGCCTTGACAAATGCAAGGGGGTAAGATTTTTTGAGTAATTTTTATTTCAAACTACTGATACTATGGCGAAGACTATTAGAATATAGCAAAGTTTGAAGTTCCACTATCCAAAGTACTCTTCGGAGATCATGTTTCTCAACTGTTGATAAAAAACAATTCACATTTCGTTCTAGGTGGAATGCAGTGACGGACAAATTGGATATGGAAGAAAAAGGAGGGCCATTTCAGAACTTCCTGCAGATCCGAACAAGATTTTCGAAATCACAATAACCTCGTTCATCAAGGTCGGCTCAGAAAACTCTGAAGCAGTGAACGAAGAAAAAACTTATAATAACAAAAAATTCATCGTGGGAAATCAAATGACAGAAACAGATATCGTCAAAGGTGAGATATCTATATACCCATATAAAATTTTCGTGTCAAAACTACAGTCACCGTTTTTTATGAAATTTCGTATGTACATTCGGTAGGTCTGAGAATAGGTTGTAATCTATTCCTCATACCCTTAAGTGATAAGGGTGCTCCATCCCAAACATTTTTTTTTAATTTTTGTTTTTATTTTTTTATGATGTGGCTTTAAAAAATACATACCTTAACCCCCAATTTTCACCATTTTATCACCAACCCCAATTTTTTATAGCCATTTCAGTAATTCAATCATTCTTAACCCTGATCATAGATCAGTTATTCCTGCCAGGCTAACTACAGGTGTCACTTCTCACTCAATAAACAGCACGGAGTAGGGATGGGAACGAAGCCGGTCTCCTATCTCTCTCACACAATAAGTCATATACAGTTTTCGATCACTGTTATTTTTTATCCATAGACCGATGGATAAAAAATAACAGTGGATTTGCCAGGCATGCCACGGCATAATTTACAACTGAAGGTTAGATCGCCCCGTAATTTGAATCCACCACGGCTATGCGACAGAACGCGATTTGTCGACCCCAACATTTCAAATGGCAAGTTCCGAGGTGCAAATATATCAATACCAAGAATCTCTATTATACCTACAGATGTGTCAATTTATTTTAAACGTGTACAATTTCCAATGAGATTGGCATTTGCAATGACTATTTATAAGTTCCAAGGCCAAACAATATCCGTTTGTGGCTTGGATTTGAGCACGCCTTGTTTTTCTCACGGACAATTATACGTGGCATGCTCTCGATTGGGCAAACCATCCAGTTTGTTCGTACGGTTGACTTTCATCACTTTATTGTTTTTCAAAATATTCCCCATGAAGATCTATACACTTTTACATGCGTTTAAACTAATTGTCGAAGCACTTTTGCCACTCTGATTGAGGTATGTCCAAAACATGCATTCTGAATGCAGCAACCGCTTCTTCAGGTGTCGAAAAACGTTGACCTCTCAGTTTGTATTCTACGTGCGGGAATAAAAAGAAGTCATTTGGTGCCAAGTCAGTACTGTACGGCGGATGACTCATCAAATCGATGTTTTGGGTGCTCAAAAATGCAGTTTTCTGAGCCGATGTGTGAGCGCTCGCATTGTCGTGGTGAAAAGTGATCCGTCTTCGGCGGTTGGTTTTTCTGATTTCTTGGAAGACAACTGGCAAACAAATGGTTGTGTACCACTGATAATTGACTGTTCTGCGTTGTTCTAGTGGTACGGTTACGACATGTCCAGTTTTTCCGAAAAAACTGACGACCATTTGCTTGGAAGTGCTTCGTGCGCGAAAAACTTTTGTTGGATTTGGCTCTTCCTGAAACACCCATACAGTCGACTGCTGTTTACTTTCGGGCTCATACGCCTGAACCCACGATTCATCACCTGTCACGATGTCATAGACGTGTTTCGAAGCACCGCGATCGTATTTTTTGAGCATTTCCATTGACCAATCAACACGTCCCTTTTTTTGAACAATTGACAAATTGTGTGGGATCCAACGCGAACAAAATTTCTTGACCGTCAAATTTTTATGCAATATTGAATGTATGCTGGTCCCACTAATGCCTAAGGTTGTCTCAATCTCACGATAGGTCACATGACGATCTTGCAATATCAGTTCGCGCACAACAACTGATTTTGGACGACCTTCACGAAATTCGTCTTGGCGTGAACTACGACCACGATTGAATTCACCATACTATCGATAAACACTGGTCCTTGATGGAGCTTCATCGCCAAAAATTGAATTAAGTTCATCCATGCACTGTTGCTGAGTTAATCCACGTCGAAAGTTGTAAAAAAGAATCGCACGAAAATGTTCACGATTTAGTTCAATTTTTGGGCCAAGATGAATCTTTTAGTTACTGTAACCATCACAAATAGCGCGCGTATGTCAAAACGCATAAGCATAAGCTCAAAAATGTCCAACTTTACGATAGAGCCGTCAGTTGTCAGATTGCAACACTAGGGTTGCCAAATCCCGAAACATAAAAGGCAACCTATGAGCTAAACATGGATTAACGGAACTAAACGAAATAAATTATTGATATTAATTATACCTGTTATTTTACTGACACACACTTACAATGAGTTAGTTATTATTTTCTACCCTAGAAATTTATGTGGCAAAACAATGTTCGCCGGGTTAGCTAGTTTTAATATATCATTCTCTTGTTTTAGGAGTACCTTCGCATAAAAACAAAAAAAAGTTGTTTCTCTGTATAAGTGTTCTTCTGGTAGTAACTTCTTAACCGATCATACAAAACTCCAGTTCATGAATATTTTAAACAAGGTACCTACTTAATTTTTTCTGCCTCTCTCAAATTTTTTTCTGCCTCTCCCACATTTTTTTCAGGGTTATTTTACCAAAGACTATGTCATTTCTTTCAAGTACTTGCATTCACCTCGTTTTTGTCGCTTGTAATTTATCTTATTGGTAAATCTTCACACTTTTCTTTCGAATGTGTTGACAACGGTTAGTTGTCCCGTGAAAGACCCGAACTATTACTTCAGAAACTTTATAGACTAGACTTTCTGAACAAAATGACGTTACTATTTTTATCAATTTCAATATTGAATGTTATCTTTATCTCCCTTGTACTATTTCTCTATCTGTGTTACATTTCCTCTCTGATTCTGTTTTCAAGAATCTTCGATACTTACTTGTTTGTTCTTTAAGTAAAGCCTAACCTTCTTGAAATTATTTGCCAAATACTCCATTATGTCATGCATACCATCATGTTTCACAAGCCAAAGTTGCTTTTTGAAGCAAAGGCTAGGTGAAGTCTCCATTGTTCATTGTTCATATATATGTTTTAAAATGTGTTTTTTTCCGTTAACCAGCTATCGCACCCCTACGAACGACAACCCTCAGAAGTCGAAACTTGTGCGAGCTAAGGACTAACGAGGTCTTACCTTTTATATTCATTAGATATCTAACTGTCAAGAATTGCTTGAGTAATGAAACTCAAAGGAGCCAATTAAAAAATAAAACATTTTTTGATAGGTACAACTCATCCTTACACCGGAACTAAACGGGAAAGTAATAATTAGGAATGTGAAAAGAATTCTTAGCTCTTTGGCACCCTGTCTATCGTCAGTACTTTCATAATTTATTGAGAATAGTTGACAACAAGATGAGCTCAGCGTAATAAGAATGCTTGAAATTTGCCTGTCAAATCAATGCTTCTCAAACTCGCTGAGGCATTGTAAGAAATGTGAATGAAAAAATATCTGCCTTTATTATTTTTGAAATTTCTTTATTCCTCAATCTCTCATCGTCAATAGTAAAATGTATATATAATGAGGTAATGTTTTCTTTTGAACGTGTAACGTTGATATAGTGTAATAATTAAGTAATTCTCAGATAGTTCGAACCCTAATTATTTTTGGTACGTTTAACTAGTCTATCTAAGAACTTATTATTTAATAAAAATTACTTTGTAACAATCCGTTGTTTTCTTTGCGCCATATGTTTTTGCTTGTGTAATTGTCGATCGTCATTCGTTTTGAATAATGAGTTTCTCAACGTTTCGCCGGACATCATTTGCTCTTCCATACCCCCCGTGAATATTCGTGGGGTCTCTCAGGTTTTGTTATAAATCAACTCCCAACAGATCTATCCCATATAGTGTATGCCCTTTAGACCCAAAGTTATTGCAATATACTCTCTTCCAATAACATTAGCGAAATAAACCAAAGACCCCTTACTATCTGATCTATTTATACTCATGGTCTATTCAGTGTCCATGAGTATGAGTGAGGGGTTGTTGTCCACTTCCATGGAGCTTCTATAAGTATTCTGAGAGGTCGGCTCTGTTGGCGATACCTGATAAGACTCCGGTACCATTCATCCTATGGCAGATGTCGCATAACACCACTGTATTTGGCCCCTTTCTTAGTTTTGCAACAGACAAGTGCTATCGCGGACTTATTCAGAGTTGAAATGAGTGATTCAAAAAGGAGGTCAACTGTGCCTCTTTGTTTCTGTTCAAAAGCCATACTATTAGTACTTCAAAATATTACAATCTTCTTTCTGCATGACTATTGATATAATCATAACGTCGTAGAAAGCCTTCTCACGAGACTCTGTCTTGTTGATCTTCCTTTCCTCTATCCACTCACGGGTTCTTAAAATAACCAAAATAATTCGACCTTGACTCTACAAAAGATAAGGATGTCTACCAAACGACCCCAACTGTCCTTTTTATAACATCGGATCAAGATCGAGAGCTTCTCAGTACTTGCACTCGTGATCCTGATCGTAGGAGGCTGAGGGTTCAGCCAGGAGTAACTTAGTCGCTCCTCAACTGCCCTTCTTATGTCATCGGATCAAGATTGAGAGCTTTTCACTGCTTTAACTACTGATCGTAGGAATCTAGGTGCTGCAGCCAGGGGCGACTTAGTTGCCTCACCAATACGTTTCCTCTATCCCCTTGGAATAACAAAATAATTCGACCTTGAGTCTACAAAAGATATGGATGTCTACTAAATGATCCCAACTGTCCTTCTTTTGACAATGGATCCAAATCCATTGCACTCCAGGTCCTGATCCTTGGAGGATATGTGGTGCAGCCAGGAAGCGACTTAATCGCCTTACCAATACCGAGGTAACTTATGAATCCACCTTGCACCAATTTATTGAGCAACTAAAACAGAATCTCCATCAGGAATGGAAATAATCTTCCATGCTCAGGTCAGTGAACATTTATGGTCGAACGGAGATTCATCCAATTCTAATATAAATGAGAAATTGAGTTGGGCCCAAAACTGATCCTTGAGGAACTCCACTCTCAATGATTTGCTTTCCAGACTTAATACCATTAAATGATACAATATGGCCAAGCCATATGTCCTGTCCTGGCTCTGTCCTGGCCAAGCCAAGCCAGGACAGAGCGAAAAAGCCCTACAAACTGAATCTAATATATCGTCAGGTATAACTGACTTACAGATGCCTTTATATGGGAAGCATGCTGGGAACAATAAGGTAAGAATCTTGCACTTTCAACATCTTTCAATCTCAATATCGACCAATCAACTCGTGCCATCGATGATA